CCACTCACCTCAGCCTCCCAAAGGCACGGGATTACAGGCTGAGCTACCGAGCCCGGCTAATTTTTTTTTTAATAGAAATAAAGTCTCGCTATGTAGCCTAAGCTGGTCTCAAACTCCTGGGCTCAAGCAGTCCTCCTGTCTTGGCCTCCCCAAGTGCTGGGATTACAGGCGTGAACCACTGTGCCCAGTCAAGTTTATGGTTTTCAATGACTTTAGATAAAACAATTTACTTAGCTGTCTATCAGGAGACTTTACATTCCATGAGGACAGAGATCTTGTCTATTTTGTTCCGCATCATATCCCTAAGACTTAGAACAGTGCCAGGCACACTATACTCAATTCGTTTATTTAGTTAATCATTTAATTCTTCCTCCTGGACAATTTATATCTAAACTGAGGGTCCTGGAGAAACTAAGCCTGGAAGGAGTGAGCTTCTGGAATTCCAGGCATCACATCAAAGAGAGAACGGAGTGGGAAAAGAGACACAACAGCGTCATTTCCCCTCCCCATGTTGGCTTACTCAATTTCACCAGCCCCCACCATATCTGGGCCCAGGGATGCAAGAGTTGTGGGCCACAAGTATGTACAGCTGCTCAAACATCATTCTTCCTGCTCCTTTAGTAAATTAAAGTGAGACTAAAAAAAAAGTGAGACTAAAATATGTCCCCAACTGTAGCCCCACACTGTCCAAAAAACCAGCTCACCCCGTCTCAGCCTTTGGAAGGTTCGCTTGTCTTCTGCTGCATCCTCCTGATCTTCCTTTTGCCAGGAGTCTCCAGGCTTTGGTTGACAAACCATAAGTAGCAGCAAGAGCTCCCCCCGGACATCATCCAGCTGCTCGTTCACATCCCTGAAGAGTATTTTGTCATGGCCTGCTGTTAGAAACTTCAAGATGTTAGATTTATTGCCGTACTCTTCTATCTTCTTCTTAGCCTTCTCGAGGGCATCCTCAAAACGGTTCAAGGTGGTGGTTAGCTTCTCAGAGGACACTTCACTGTTTTTTTTTTCCTGAAGCTCCTTAAGAGGCTGGACCAGGCCATGGACACGGTCCTTTAGACGCTGGCACTGTCTCTTACAGTATTTCATCTCTTCACACTGGTTGCAGATGAACTGGGCTAAGGAGATGATATTTGTCAACTTATCCATACCTGGAAGAAATGAATGACATTTGGTGAAGTTTCAGAATCTCCTGCGTATTTACTACTCAGCTGAGGAAGAATCGAAGGGGTCTGTGAGTTAAATGTTGAAGAGGTCTTCCCGACCATTTTAATGTAAGATAGAGATGGCTTACTGTCTACCAAAATCTGTTCTGCCCTTCCATAATAACAGTGTTGGAGCTGAGACGTGCTGGCCCAGCAGGTACTACATCTCCCAGCCTTCCTTGCAGCTTGATGTGGTCATGTGACTAGTTCTCACCAATGTGGTATGAGTGGGTGTGCCCTGTGCTACTTTCAGCTGAGGTGACTTTGCCCTCTTCACACACTCTTTCTCCTTTTGCCAGCTGGATGCACAGGATGAAGTGGCCCTAGAGAGGGTGGAGCCCTAAGAAGGGTCTTGAGTCCCCAGATCATCACTTGGGAGATAGCTGCCCGCATACCTGGAACATCTGCCATGGACTGTTAAGTGATCAAGGAATACACTTCTATTGCATGTGAGCCATTATATAGAAGTCTATTTTTTTTAAACATTACTTTAGCCTATTCTAACAAATATATCCTGCTAAAAGTATAGAGGTTTCAGGGTCAAGGAAGGTAACTCAAATGAGTAAAATGATTTGGGCTAGGAATAGTCTTTATTGAGTTGGAGTCTCACTCCATCGCCCAGGCTGGAGTGCAGTGGCACACTCACAGCCACCCCAGTGTCGACTTGCTGGGCTCCAGTGATCCTCCTGCCTCAGGCTTCCAAGTAACTGGAACTACAGGTGCGTGCTACCATGCCCGACTAATTTTTGATTTATTGTAGAGATGAGGTCAAGTCAAGTTGTCCGGCTGGTCTCGAACCCGTGGACTCAGGCAATTCACTAGGCTCGGCCTCCCAAAGTACTGTTTACAGGTTGAGCCACTGAGCCTGGCCTAGTCTATCTTTCATATTACCAGTTTTGATAGAGGCAACAGAACAAAAAATTGTTTACTTTCTTCTTACGGTCCTATAGGAAAAAAGCTGCATACCTGCAATGAGAAAGGGCACTGACTCTTGGTGTCATCATTAGGAAAATCAGAGAGAGGTTGGTGGGTTGGAAATTTCATGTTTTTTTGTTTTTGTTTTTGTTTTTGTGAGATGGAGTCTCACTCTGTCACCCAGACTGGAGTGCGGTGGCACGCTCCCGGCCACCGCAGCCTTGACCTGCTGGGCTCCAGCAATCCTTCTGCCTCAGCCTTCCAAGTAGTCAGAACCACAGGCGTGCACTACCACGCCCAGCTAATTTTTGATTTATTGTAGAGACAAGGTCTTGGCAAGTTGCGTGGGCGGGTCTCGAACCCACAGGCTCAGGCAATCCACTTGCCTAGGCCTCCCAAAGCACTGGGATTACAGGCTGAGCCACCAAGCCCGGCCCGTGATCTTTCTAAAGAAGGCAGGGGCTATCCAGCAAACAATCTGCTGCTCTGTAAGGATCACATGCCCAGTAGTGGAAGATCTTAGTTTTACAAGAGCAGCCGGAAATTTGGATTTTTATGCCGAATAGTATTTTATTTCTTCTTCTTCTTTTGGTTATTATTATTATTATTATTATTATTATTATTATTTATTTATTTTTTTTGAGTTGGAGTCTCACTCTGTCGCCCAGACTGGAGTGCAGTGGCCGCTCCCGGCCACCA